TGTGTGTGTGTGTGTGTGTGTGTGTGTGTGTGTGTGCACCATATGACATTATTTACAATTCATATACCATAATGTTTCTTTCTTCCTTTCGATAAAATTTGCTACAAAATATAATCTCGAATTGTTTACCAAATGAAATGATTGTTTGTTCTTCTTCTCAAGATATAAAATCATTCAATAACAAAAATATTGAATGACACTTATAAACTTGACATACGTGTAAAGGTATACGCGTAGTAAATTGGTGATATTGCTATTAGATTATTGCGCTCAATGTTTGAATAAATCCAATATATTTTTTATGTATTCCAACGATAGCATGATTTAATTGTATCATTCTTATTCAATATTTTGCATAAGTAATTATTTATCACTGCTAATTTCTTCAATACTATCCTCTCTTTTTTGTTCAATCTATTCATCCTATGAAATGCTTCGAAATTCAGTTTAAAACGTAAAGAAACCTTTAGCAGTATGCAGTACAGCATTCATGTGAAGTTCTTTTAAATTGTTGATTTTATTATCAAAGAATCTGAGCATATGAGAAGTATTTCTACAATCTACAGTACAAATTTTATGTTTAAATAATATAAAATTAGTGAAAAAAAATTTGTGAAAAAAAAATTGTGCTATTGATAAATTTTTCCTTCATAGCAAAATACATTAATTATCATTAGATGTTTTCACATAAAGTTATTAAGAATATCAGGAAGCGCTTCCTGTAGTTCCAACTTTTTTTATAATATGTCGGGAAATGATAATTCGTTGTATTTGACTTGTACCTTCGTAAATTTGGAAGATTTTTGCATCGCGCATCAATTTTTCTACTGGATATTCGCTATTGAATCCATTACCTACAGAAAATATTTTTATATATTTCTTGCATTAATTTCCAATTTTTCCTTCGATTCAAAAGAAAGAAAAAAGAAACAAACTGAATTTCTGAGAATAAACAAATTAACGTGAAACCTCCGAAAATTTGTACGGCATTGGTTGCAGCAATATTAGCAGTGTCGGCAGCAAAGCATTTAGCTATCGAAGCATAAAAGGATGCTTCACTATTGGTAGTTACCGCGGCACGATATGTAATTAGTCGAGAGAGTTCCAGATTTGCTGCCATGTCTGCTAATATGAATGATATTCCTTGATTCTAAATAAACAGCAAAAATTGAGATTAGCAAAGATGTAATTAATGTAACACCGATCCTTTAGCTTTTGTACATCCTCATTTTTAGTGTTTTTTAGAAATGAAATCTCGATTTACTTGATTTTTTTCAATGAGATCTCTAATATAACTGCATCATAAATGTTTAAAAACTTTTGAACAAAAAATGCTGAAATGCTGTTTGAATACATTAATAATTGGTGCTCCGAACGCCTTCCTTTCTAGTGCATACTTGCATGCTTCATCGAGAGCACGCCATGCAAGTCCAACAGCTGCAGCTGCAACATAAGGACGAGACATGTCAAATGCGCCCATTGCTATTTTAAAACCTGTACCAGGTGTACCAAGAACGTTCTGAAAAAAATCTTAGATTTTGAAGCATTCCCGAAACTTTTAACTTTTATTTCACTATTTTCACCTCCATTGGGACTATAACATCTTCGAATATTATTGATCGTGTATCCGAGCATCGTTGTCCCATATTTTGCTCCTGGAATAGACTCATGCTTAATAACTTATTGGCAAATTTATTAAGCTATTTTCGTAATATACTATTTTAAGAATATTTAGTTCATCGCTTTTGCAAGATATGTATATGTATGACAAGTTACCTTTTTCCCTCTGGTAATTCCTTTAGTATCGCCATCAACAATAAAGGCAGTGAAAGCTTTTCCCGGTTGTACTTTTGGGTCCGGATCAGTTCTTGCCAGTACGAAGAACCATTTTGCTGGTCCACCACCAGTTATCCAAGCCTTGGTACCATTCAACACATATGAATCTCCTCAAAATTTGATCCACTGCTAATTTTTCTAATTTTTTTTTTTTTTTTGAGTAATTCAGAGTGTTTTTTGAATTTAATATCATTTTGAAATAACTCTTTTTTTTTTTCATTTCTTGTAATAATGCTTACTGGTGTATCACAAAAGTCTAAACAATTATTTTACACAATTAACAGTATACCTTTTTTTTCCGCCTTCATTTTAATACCTGAAACATCGGAGCCAGCATTCGGTTCCGTTACACAGTAAGCCTAAATGTTTGGCAAACACAAATCTTATGGAGATGAAAAAGTACAGACTGTTCCGCTGCAATTTCATTGACAATATAATTTCGATTTTTCTTGATAATTTCAATTTACTTGAATAATCTGGCAAATTTCTATACTATCCTAATAGCTAATTCATACTTTTAATACACGCTAAATCGAAATTGCCAAGTATTTAAATATTTACGCTAAAGCATTTCCTCCTCACTCTTCAATCTTCATTCTTTCGCCTTTTCCGAAGACTTACTGCAATGATAGGTTCGGCAGCAAGCATTCCTAAATACTTTTTTTTTTGTTCTTCATTTCCAGCTATATTAAGAGGTGTGACAGCTAAGGATGGTCCCATGATGCAAAGTTGAATACCGGAACAACCGTAAGCTAATGCCTCAGTTATCAGAGCGGTTTCCGAACACGATAATCCTAACCCACCTGAAAAATAGAATATTTGTGTTACTATCATTATTTGCTATTCCGATATGAATAGCAGAAATAATTATTCGCTTACCATATTTTTTAGGAATTTGTGGATTCATGAGGCCTATTCGATGTGCTTCCTTTACGATATCCCATGGAAACTGAAATTGAATTCTTTCATGATCAAAATGAATTAATTACATTCCAGTGAAAATTTTAATTTTCCATCTGAAAAAAAAAAGATGAAATTTACAGCTTATTCAATAAAAAATCAAAAAAGATCTTAAATTTCGTATTGAAATTTTTAAAATCAACTATTTCACCTCGCCAGTACTATCATAATGAGCGGCAACAGGTATTATTTTTTCTTTCGCAAATTTCAATGCAACATCACGATATTCACGCTGTGTGTCGGATAGTCCTAAAAAAAAAAAAGTAAAAAGGCTTACTACATATTAATGCTTACCACTTCGATATAGCTATTATCTATGATTGAGCCATTAAAAGTACCAGAGGTACCAGTAGAATAGAGTAAAAGCTAACAGATTTCCCTAAACAAGTGATTATTTAATTCACTGTCGATGAATAATTACGATTAAAGATCAAACCAAATGAAATAAATCGACTTTGAAATTTAACATTGCAGTATTGCAACTTTTGCAGTATGCATCTCGAAAACATCATAAAATACACTGAAAATATAAATGCTTTCATTAAAAAACCTCTCCACTGATTATTAAAATGTTGCGGAAAAAGAGAAAAATTGGAACTATAAAAGCTTGCTCACTTTCAAGGAGATTAATTTCCTTTACAGATTGTAAAAATGAAGCGGATATTTTTTTTTTATTAAAAATCAAAAATTAATAAATTTGGAATGTACTTCAACAATACAATATGTTCGAAAATGGGAGCAAAAAATGATGCCGTTGATGAAAAATTAAAAAGATGCATTTAATATTCTCAAATTAAACTGTTCGCAAATGAGGATAATTGTTAGCAATACTTCACCAAATCAATTATTGCATTGTTTAGATTATTTTTATTTATTTCAGCATGAATGATAACATTATGTATAATACAATACTGTTAAATCACCTGCAATACTGTTAGCATTTGTGGAACTAATGAAAAGCATTTCAGCAAGCTAAGTTTTGATATCATAAAATCAAAATTCGTCAGAGCATTAATCAGAAATGATAAATTTCTCTTTCTTGAATGAATAAATTCTCTCTTTCTATAAAGTCGTATATGATCTCATTTTGGAAATTCCTGGTGCTAAATGTTCCCTTTACTCTTAAAATTATATTTATAATAAAAAGTTTCAAGTCGATTAAGCTTTATTGCTTTTCATCACAGTAGCATGCTCGAGGTTCCTGTCTCTCGAATTCGTGCACTTAACTTTCGAGCAATAATAATCTTTTGGATTTGATTGGTGCCTTCATAAATTTGTATTACTTTTGCATCACGCATTAACTTCTCCACTGGATATTCCGCGTTGAATCCGTTCGCTACAACAATTAATTGATATAAAAAAATTTTACTGGAGAAATAACTGCTACAAATTTTCAGTTGGCAATTATTTTAATGATAATTTCATAAATATACCGCCAAAAATTTGAACGGCGTTGCTTGCAGCAATATTAGCAGTATCAGCGGCAAAGCATTTAGCAATGGATGAATAATACGAAGCAGGTGAATTTTGCACTGCCTCCACTTGCCATGCACTGCCATAAGTCATAAGCCGTGAAAGCTCCAAATTTATAGCCATATCAGCTAGCATAAATGATATACTCTGATAACACTGATAAGTTCAGATGTGATAAATGATGTAATGCAAAAAAAAATACATGTTTGAAAAGGGTAATATTAAATGATTTTAGGAATAGTATGGCTATGATCATAATGATCATCAACTGAAAGAAACAATTAATTTATGATTTTCTGCATAACGAATCTTATCGATAGAAAATACATATAGGAAGTATTATTGTGATGAAAAAAAAAAAGAAACAGGCTTAAATTCATTGTTCTCGTATTATCATTAACTATACCTGATTGTTAACAATTTGAGTACCAAATGTTTTCCTTTCCAATGCATACTTGCTAGCTTCATCAAGACAACGAGCCGGCTAATCCGGTTGCTATTGTTGCTATCAGTAATCTAAACATCCTTCATTTCATGTATTATTCAATTCTATTGAGCTTCCTAAGAGAAAAGTAATCTCAAACGATATTTTGATCAGTGCTAATTGATGAATTTTCATTAAAGAAAATTTTCAAAGTGAAAAAAGTTATCAATAGCTCTATAATCCTGGATTTTTTACTAGGTAATTGCCTACCTAGTAGCATCAAAAGTCTTCATAGCAATCTTAAAACCTTCCTCAGGACCACCAATCATTTGTGACTTTGGCACTCGAACATCTTCAAATGTTATTGCACATGTATCTGATGCACGTTGTCCCATGTTTATTTCCTAAAATAATTTCATCTCAATTTCAATTTCATTTCAAATTCATTTCGTTTCAAATTCATCCCTTCATTTTATCGCCATTATTCTATAATTGTTATCATGTACAATTAACCTAGTCAATAATTTCTACTTCATTATTTGTACCAGTTGAATGGAAAGAAAAAAAACCTTGTACACAAAAGTACTAAATAATGTGAATAGATTTCGTCGATACATTTATTAAATTGTCTAAAATATAAAACAGTAATATTGATTATTGTAATTGAGCCTTATCAAGATTTGTGAGTAAATTTAATTAAACTAAAACTATTCAATGAATAAAAAGCTATCAAAATTAACTTTTTTTCCAAATAGTGATTCCTGGTATATCAGCACCAATTACAAATGCTGTAAAGGCCTTACTAGCAGGTATTTTCGGATCATTATCATTTCGTGTAAGTACGAAAAATCAATTCGCAACTCCACCATTAGTAATCCACATTTTGGAGCCATTAATGATGTACTCATCACCTTTCTTCTCAGAATAAGTTTGTATATCCGCAACATCTGAACCGGCGCATGATTTTGTGACTGCAAACGACTGCAATATCATATAGTTAAAGAGTCTCGAACTAGGGAGAAAAAATGCTTGATAAGACAAAATAAGTCAAACTTAGCCTCTGATTAGCAAGTATGCAAGAAGTGATAAATTGCTAATTAATATGCAAGAAGTGATAAATTGCTACTTTTTATAAACAACGCTAGTGCAAAGCTAAATTGCTAGAAATTCGAAATGCTAGAATTAAATTAGATATGAGAATCAAACAGGAGATTTTTTGATAAGACTGCTGAGATTATTTTTAAAAACAAATAAGTCAAATAGTCAAAATCATGTAAACAAAAACCATAGATATTATAATTTGAAAAAAAAAAATTCGCAATAAAATATGAACTGTTAAGATTAAAACAACATCAAATATTCGGAAAAAACAGCTTACAGCCATCAAAGGCTCATCGATCATTCGTCTTAGATACTTTTTTTTAATTTCACTATTAGCTGCTAAAATTAGCGCTGTTTCAGCAATGAGATTTGTCAACATTGCTGTACTTATGCCCGCACAACCATATCCGAATCTTTCATAAATTAGAACATCTGTGATCATATCCAATTCCAAGCCACCTGTAATGACTATTGAAAATGATTTTAAAATTTAAATTTTAAACAATGTATACAATTGCTGAAGATATTGTTGCAAATAAATTCGATTAATCATAATATCCAGAAGCATTCTTAGGCAACATTATGAGTCAGTTGAATAAGTTAGATAAATTTACAGCTGAAATAATCAAATGAATAAGTAATATAGATGAAACTAGCATAATTTGGTAAAATAAATAAAAACTACCATGATTTCTTGGGATTATTATGTTCATGAATCCATTAGCCATGAGCTTTTTTAATTACACTCCATGGAAATTCACCATTTTTGCCGTATTTACTTCCTACTGGTATTACTTCGTCAGCTACAAATTTACGTGCAGCTTCATTTAATTGCTGTTGGCTATCCGTAAACTCTAGAAAATTGAAAACTATTGAGCAAAGTATAAGAATTCTTCAATACTATAAATGATTATTGATTAATACTGTTTTAAAAAAAGAGAAAAAAAAAACGAATTCCTCTTTAAATTATAACTACCGAAACCAAAATTTGCAGAAGTGAAACGATGAAGATGGGACAAATTGAATAGCAAATTACGAGTTGAAAAACTGTTTGCAATCATTTTTTTTTTTCAATCTGAAATAATATAATTTTAGGCAATTAACAAAATCCAAGATTCAATTCTTTACTTCAGATTTACTACTAATACACTGTTATTGCACGAAGGCTATTCAATCATTATTGCTTGATAATAACTCTCTGTGCTTTGAAAAAAAAAAAACAAAAGAATAGAAAAAGTGATCGCTTTTGTCCCATTACAAACTACATGCTTATCTCATTTTAATTTACTTTTCCATATATAATGTTAGGAGTTAATTTTAGTATTTTTTTTTCAAATACAGAAGTAAATTAGACGTTCAAATATGAAATATAGGAAGTAAATTAGACGTTCAGATGTGATAAAAGAACAGTAATGTAGTGGCAATCTGCTCAGTACAACTGTAAATTGTGTTATGAATAGTCGATGACATAATATCAAACATTTGATAAAGTCGATAATTGGAGCAAAAGAGAATAATGAAGAAGAGAAATAAATTTCAAACAATGACCGATTTAACAAATGCAATTTACCAAAAGAACCTTCAACATTACACTGATCATATTGCAAGAGCAATTACAAACGGAAGAACTATGGACTGTACACTTTACTATTATTACTGTTTGCTGCGAAATGTCACAGTACGGTGGTGATGTTTTGATTATTCATCGAATTATTTTTATTTTAAAACGAGAACTTCTATATTACACTATATAACTGTGCAAAATTAAACTAAGAATAAATGAAAGAAGCGAAAAAAGAGTCGAAAAAGAAGAAAAAATTTGAAATTTTTAAACGTAAAAAGACTAACTTAAAATTGAATTTAAGGCAAAAGTAATCATGTTGACTCAAAAATGAATTCCTTCAACTCATTCAAGTACTTTTTAACGAGAAGATTTTTTATCAAATATATTAAAATCCGTAATATAATTATCGGATTTTCAAACGTCTAGAATATGATATTAAAATTATGTTAATTCTTTGAAATAATTTGAAATAAAAACATGAAGTTCTATAGGCATAACTTGAAATGAAGATATGACATTCGGTGAACAGAGTCTGAAATGAATACATAACAATCGGTGTGCCTGAAATGAGCCTGAAATGATGATATGACATTCCGCGGATAGAGCCTGGAAAAAAAAAATGACATTCAATTGAACAGAACATTATACTGTAAATACTGTCGCAACAACTTCAAAAATGAAATATCATTTATGATCCTACGAAGAAAGCATGACTACTGTATACATCCTGATTTCTCTTGAATTGTTCGAATTTATTTACGACGGTTGAGCTGTGTTGCTGGAATGGGTAATTCGAGATCAAGGAGTGATCCTCTTGTCATTGCTCGTTGTTCCTCACCAGCCTATTGTGTTCAAGTTGTTGGTAGCAGGCACATTTTGCTTGGTGGCGGTGGTGGAGCATCAAAAACCGGAGTGCCGAATAACATTCAGGTTTTGCTCATTTTTGCATTATTTTATTTTACTTACATTCTTTTTCACAATCTGATCGAAGTATTTCCATAGAACATATTGAGCTTCTTCACAGATGCGACAATTAATGGTATTGTGAAACGAAAAAGATTAATAAACATCTATGCATCGATGTGTCACTATCTTTCACCTTTGTCATTGTTATTTGTCATGCTATTTTTGGTACGAATATTATTATCACTGTTTCATATGTTTTTTAAACTATTTTTTAACACTTAGCTTTTTTTTCTTGTCCTTCTTATTTTTCCTTTCCATTTTATGAGGACGAATAAATTATATGATAAAGAGGAGAGACAGATCTAGAATTCATATCGCAAGGTTTGTAGCAATTATAGCCATATGTAGTTAATTTTTTAATTTCAATAATCAAGTGACATTGAAAACTACAAAGGTAGTTTTACTTCATTGCTAGAAGGAAATAATCATCTAATATTAGAATTGGTATTTTATTTGAAATAATTCCATCGGACGATTTGCATGAAGCATGGTCAAAAAATAGGCTATTGCTTAGAATGTTTTTTTTTTCATTAACTACCGAAAATGGATTTACGGAGAATTATATGTGTTGGACTCATGTAGCGAAAACTAAAGTCAGCTGAGGATTTTGAATTTTTTTATCTTTGATGCGAAATCGCGCTTTAAATTCAGAGCGATATGAATAAATAACTTTGCAAGAAATTAAGGAAACGATGTGGAAAAGCAGTACTTCTTGCAGACTTTGCTTCTTTCGTTCGACACAAAGTCGTCGACAGATGCAGTGGAAGATTTACCAAGGGCAGGTGAACGATTATCGTTGGTAGCGAAGATTACTGACTCATTGGAAACTGATCCTTATGCAACGATGAATATGGACTGTGTATTGTTGGGAGCTGCAGAACAGGGTAAATATCTTTTGGCTGCTGGGCATGATGAGGTCAGTAAACTAATTATAATTTCGAAGATTTTGATGAGAATAGTAAAGTTTGGATACTATATTCATCAATTTCTAGCTTGATACCAATGAATTTGCTGTGCAAGGAAACAATTGAAGGATGATTCATTATTTCAAGGGAGAGAGCAATAGTAGTTTATTAATATAAAAGCAAAACTTAGTAATTCATTTCTACAGTGCTAACTACAGTCCACACAATATTTTCGCTGTTATAAAGGGCTCATTTTTCATTTTAGGACATCTTTTATATCGATAGACTGTATTCTTAGCGACATTGCAACTAATTTCAAGAAATGTCAGTCTTTTTCTGATATAATGTATCAGAGCGGACTCCCTTTAATAAAATTCTGATTTCAGTATTGTGATTTGTACGAATCTAAGGGGTTTTCGTTATTAAAAGCAAAGGAGAATGAACTTTCGCTAAGTTTTGAGAAAATATCTCGGATAATTTCGGATGAAAAATCGAGTAATGCTTATCAGGTGACCTGACGATTTTTCAACTAGAAAAAAGAACAGTTATATACATATCTTTTTTTCATAGAGGAGAGAAATTAAGTAAATTCATTGTGATTGGAATTTTAAAAAATGAGATGGATTTTTTACAGAAGACTGTTCGATTCGATCGGAGTGTTGAAGGGCAACCTCAGAGGTTGTATACGGGTGGCGCAGACGGGTGTATACGTATTTGGGATGTAGAAAAGTTAAGAGAAGTAAATGTTTTTGTGAAACATTATTTTCAGCTTTTTTCCCCTTCTCATTTTTTCTGGACATTTACAGTTTTTTTTAATTTACATCTATTAAAACTGTAGAGATTTATTCAATTATCTAAGGAGAGTATTATACATGGCAGTTTTTTTATTATGTTATAGGATTCTACTTCCAAACATACCCCATTGATAAAAATTAAAGCTCATCAAGGAGATGTAGATGATTTGGATGTTTCGCCCAATGGAAAATTGTGCATCAGTGTAGGGCATGATGCCACTGTATATATTTGGAATACAGCAGACGGAGAAAAAATTTGCAGCTTACCAGTACCGAAAGAAATTGGTCATGGATTTAAGGTAAATGGTTTGTGGATTTTCTTAAAAAATTTGATGTAGATCCGAAAAAAAAGGAAAACAAATATATAGTTTGGATATTCCTGAGAAGTAATTACGAGAAACTTAAAGAATTTTGGATTTTTTTAACAACCCAAAAATTTTGAAATATAGATTAAATTAGTGGGCTTTGAATGCATATTTAAGACCTACTTGATATATTCAACCAAGAGAACTTTTCACTTCAAATATTCACTTTAAATTAGTGAATTTCCCACAGTAAAAAAAGAAAGCTCAGGTTCGGTCGGTGCGCTTTACGGTTCTTGGTTCTAAGAATACAATATTTTTGGCATGTTACAATCAAATTCGACTTACAAAGAAAGCTGTATCACATGTTGTACTATGGGCATTCAATAATGAACGAAATGTCTGTCGGCCAATACTTGTTCGAGAAGCATGTAAAGAGGTCATTTAATTTTTTAATTGATCACTATATAGTTCTTATTTTATTATCAATTTTTAAAAGTGCATAATTCTCATCTCATCCTGTATACGTTTTCTTCGGGAAATAATTGACAATATTGTAATAGCTCTTCACATTCTAATCGCCTACATGCTGTTGCCAACTGTCGAACATTGTGAAAGTAATGATGTTCCAAATTAAATTTTGATGATTTTGAAGACTTTGACATGCAGTTCGCACCAAAACTCATGTTACAGACAATATCAGCGCTAGCTGTTAGCGAGTGCGGTAATTTCTTTGCCGTTGGAACAATGGATGGAGGTGTGGGTATATATGATACGCACGAATTGAAATTACTATATTTTGCTCATGAAACACATGGCATCTTCGTTACAGGTAGCTTGTTTTACTTCAATGAATTGTGACAAACTATTAAATTAGGTTTGGTTATCTCGTTGAATTTTATGAAGCAAATTTTTAAAAATCCTTATTGTTTAATGCCACTGATCCTTTTCACAGAAATGAAAAATTAATAGAAACCAATAATGTCTTATTTTCTTTACTGCGAAACATTACAACGCTTAGATTGTTTTGTAACACAAAAACTTTTTTTGTGAAGGTGGACATCCTCTTGCATTAATCTGATCTCTCCTTTTCTTGTCCTTAATATTTCTACAATTGTTTTTTCAGCTGTAGAATTTCTTCCCCAAAAAACACATGATTTTGGCCCGTTTAGTGGTGAGAACGAACGACAGCGTTCTCATTACCCGGGAGTGGCATCAGAATATCGTGCAGCTGTAATTTCGCTAAGTGCGGACCAAACAGTTCAATTTCATGCTGTTCCTTTCGTAAAACCAACTCCATTTACCTATTTCTTATGTAAACTTTCACTTTCGGCTTTCTTTTTATATTATATTGTTTGGTATTTATGTGACCGACCGAGAAAGTTGAACTTATCGACGGAGAAGAACTGAATGAAATAGAATTTCTTATAAAATAAGAAAATTTCACTTTGATATCTTGTCAGGTTGAGATATACATGAGGTTTTTTGAGATTGTCACAAATGTACTACATGCATCCCAGTTCTATTTGGGAATAATTGTTATTTTTCTGTGTATTTTTTTCAATGCCAATTTTTGTTATATTTTCTTTTTGTTTTCCTGGTGCTGGAAATGAAGGATTTCGTAAACTTTTATGTGTTATTCCAGAATGTCATCTTCATTGAAAGAGTTCAAATATTTTACAACAAGGCTAGTCTGAGGCGCTTATTTAATATCGATTTCCTTTACCGACTAGTATGTAGTTTAATCTTTTCTGAATGGTTATGAACTCAGGTTGATTGTAAAAATCAGATATGAAGTGCTCGTTTACTCCGAATTTCAAAATACAATTTAAAGCCAACAGTCGGCAAAGGCAAATCTTGAGCAAGAAATTTAATAGTAATGCTGTCGTCAGAGTGCTGTATAATGCCGCTAAAAGTTTTGCATTTTGCATCTAGGTGTTTCTGTATGAGCATTCCACTTTTTTCTTGCATTTTTTGGTGGAAATTTCTATAGGGTAATCCAACATAATTTCTGCTTCTTGCAGCAATTTTTCATCTAATTCCATATTTATTTTGAATCGACTAAAGAAATTCAGAAATGTCCGAAGCAATCACTCGTGAAAGTGGTAATGGAAGTGATATCAATCTTATCAAAGGTTAATTTTAATTCTTCGGATTGATTTTTATTTATGTTATCTTTGATAAAATGGGATAGATGGATGGACGGATGGATAATTATGGGGATAATAATATAATGATTATATCATTATTATCACTATAAAAGAATAAATTTACAAAAGTTTATTATTTCAAGGCTTTGAAAATGATTACAAAAGCTATTTATACAGATTAATGATGAGGTTTTTTTGCCCAAAAGTTATTTGGGTAATTATGGGACGAGGTTTGGTCGGAAGTTACATATTTGTCTCACTCTGGTATTGACACAAAAAGTCTGGATGTCAGAAGAATTAAGATCCAAAATCCAATATTTGAAGCAAATTTTTAATGCGCTTATAAAATTCCGTTCACATTATTATGACTTTGTAGGGATAGGAAAGGTTGTAATTGAATAAACTTATAAAAGCATAAATCATGTGAACCATCAAGCAAGTCGATTAGTCTTAAGTATTTAAAGGCTTGTTCGTGATTAGACTGTATGACAAGATGATATAAATCACAAGCTGAGAAGATGGTATAAATCATAAGCTTTTTTCGGTTGGAATTAGCACCGTGATTTCATCGCTGTAGCGATTCAAGTATTCTCAAAATTTATCGGCCTAGCCCGGTGAAAATATTCTCAATTTTATTGTTTAAATCTTGGTAGGATTAGTCATCCGATTGCAACAATATATGTTCAGGGAAGATGGTAGATGTGAAGGGATACGGAACACCACGTCGTGCTTTGGGTGATTTGAAAAATGTATTCGCAACACCGGTTAGCACTGTTATCAAACGAAGAATTCCAGAAAAATCGCAATCATCATTCGATGTATATTATGAGAAAGAAACTAATAAAGATGTTAGTTGAACAGTTTGATTTCGACTGTATGATTTTTGCATTTTTATTAATGACCTTTAGTTTCTTAAAATTAAATTTATTATGAAATGTGGAAGAAGAACTTAAGACACTATCGTACGCAATGGGAAATAAATTCAACATCACTTGATTGAGGTTTGAATTGCAATTTGAAACTCACCGATCTTAATACAGAACAGAAATATATTCAAACACTTTAGAGTTTTATTTTTAGCAAAATAGAATTTAAGATGTTTCAATTTTTCAAAAATATATGAGGTGTCCCTTCAATATGCTGTATGATTACAAAAGCAATTTATTAATTTCTTTCAAAATTCATACTGAGTCCATATTGATTTAAGGACAAGGATGTAATTTTTGCTCCGGAAACTGAAGATCTCGAATCAGTGCAAGAAACCGATGACACTATCGAAAAATTCAATTTTGAAGAGCACATAGGTAAGTGTTTGGGAGAAATTTCTGTTTCTTTAAAAATATGATCATTTAATGTGAAAATAGGCAAAATATTTTATTTTTTGCGATATTTTGAAATAGAAGTAAGACACAGTTAGAATGAAATGATGAATATTTTTTGCTTTTAGATCTAATTTTCTTCGTTAACTGTTTGGTACGAGTCATAATCTTAATTTAGCTATAATCTAATGCATTACTTTTCTAGAAACATACGAAGAGATATTTCCTAAACCAGAACAAAGAATTGATGTAGCCGATTTATTGCATAATGTGCAAACCGATGATCGCTTCCTGCGAAGTCTCTTCAGCGAATTATTAGATGAAGACAATCTCAAATTGTTAAATGAAAGTAATTTACAATTTACTGCTTGTTACTATTTAGCTAATGTTTCATTTGTAGTAGTTGACTTGTATGATTCAAAATTCATATTCAGAAGTGTGTCAAATTTTAGAAAACCCGATGACAAATGCAGATTGTGACAAAGCGCTTACCGAAATCCTTGGTGGTGAAATATGCAGACAATAATTCGATTTTTTGCCTTTCTCTTGAGTGATCTCGTTGTTTTGAAACTTATGCTAATTGTCGGTTTTTAAAATTGTCTTTTTTGAATTTAATCTAGTTTCTACAGTTGGTCCTCTTGCTTTAAAGAATACACAATTTAGATTTTCTGCTTCTACTTCTACTTATTAAAAAGTGGAAGAATTAGAAGTCAATTGGATTCTTACATTGATATTTTCCAAACCGGTACTTTATATAAACATTGGAAAAAGATTGAAATTGTAATATCTAAAACTATTCATGATAACTTTCAAGTATAAAATATAAGGTCTTTTCTATTTATTGTTTTTTAATTTTTAAAAATTTTTCTCGCAACAATTATTAGTATAATTTCCTTTCTTGTGCTTTCGTGTTTTACATATTTTCGTTTTATTCCATTTGGTTTCTGTGCAGACGTTGCTTATTTCTATAGAAATAAGCCTTTTTACATAAAATTTGTTTTGAAAATTTACAATAGAAATATTGAATTGATGGGACATAATCTGATTAATCTATCATCAATAGTGCCACTGTTCTAATATTTTAAAAATTGAATCTTTCCTTAATTTAGATGGATCCTTACTTGCCACAGATCTGTGTAATATAATAATATAATAAGAAATAATTTTTTTTTTTTGTTTCTCAATAATATTTTCATGTGGGCACATCTAAATTCTACCAGTGTTAATCTAATAAAGGGCGGATTATTTTTGTAAATAGAATGTTCGAAATTAAATTATCTCAAATCTGTTAGAATGCTCGATGTAGCAGAGCAATCAACGGTGATGCTGCATTGGCTTTTAAAAATTTTTGAATCAACTTTAAGAATTTTTTAAAGATATGTTCTGAATGCTACAATGAAAGATGAAATATGTTATCTTTCAGATAGGACGGTGATGGTTTTGTGATTCAAATTAATTTTAATCGTAACATTACTGATTGCTTAGTATGCAAATTATGCAATTAGCATGCGAAATATGAGCAACTGCATCCAGTTATATGAAAACTGTGCATTAAAATTGATGGAAATGATAAAACTTAATAGCATTTTTAATGCCCGGAATTTTTTCTTGCAAATTCTACAGAATTAGCAAACAATTGTTGATTTTTCATAATTATTAGTATTCTATTTTGAATCAAAATTTTAATTTTGCGGCCAAAATAATTTACTGCAATATTAATATTTAACTATTCTAATTTCAACATTTTAAGTTCAGGAAGATGAAATCTGAGAATTTGTTTAATGATATTTGCTATTCCTCAAATTAGTTCATTTCATTAGCAGCATGTTTGTTCATTTATTCTCTTTCAGTAATTGCTCAAACTTCCTGTTTTTCTCATCTCTCTACTTTATATATCGATCTAAATCCTAAAATAATTCAACATTTAATTTTAGCTCTTTTATGAGTAAAATGAAATGAAATTGAAAAATGTGAAATGAACTATAAATTGGACATGCTTAGTTTGTTGCTTTTTTTCATGCATATTATAACATTATTGATAATATTCAGTTTATTTCTATTTCATTTATATTTTATAGCAGTAATTTTTAATTGCTATCAGATATGTTTTATTTCGAATATGCATCCAACTTTTCCTTATTATACTTTTACAAATTAATGAATTCCGCTTCCTACACTTGAGAAGCTTTTTAACTTTTTTTTTTACCATTTTCAGATTTTAACTTTTTTTTAAGTCTATTTTCAGATTTGTAATTTTGACAAATATATCTTTTCATAACGAAGATTGAATTAATTTAATCGTTTTAAAATCGAATATCGGAATTGCCGATTCTATGAATTTTTCCTCAGTAACTTTCATAATAATCGTTTTAAATCTACCAAATAAATATGTGCTGTCATATTTAACTAAATTAATGGTAAGTGGATATTTTCATTTAAAAAAAAATACTGCGAAATTTCATAATTACATTGATAATTAACTTTTTCTGATTATACACAAAATTGTTTAAGTTTGCTATTTCCAACGATGCAAAATTATTTGAAAGACAAGTGAGAATTTTCTTCTTGAATATATTTATGAAATAATTTTAATACAATCAATCAAATCAACAACCATCTAATCAAACAACACATTAACTAAGTGTTTTTTTGTCTTCAGCGGCTTATTTTCTCACACGAATGGAATATTCTTATCTAATTTCATTCCCGAAAGAAAAAATTTTTTTAAGAAAACTAATTGTGATAACAAAGTGAGCAAATAATATCTGCAAAGTTTGCTTCATTCATAATTATTAAAATTAAATAGTTCGTGGAATTGCTGAGAGGATCGGTTTGCATTTTTTAGAATAGTATTGTTTTTTTTTTCTAATTTTTTTTCTAATGTTATAATTGTATTTGCCGAAAAGCAAATAATTTATCAAACAATGAAATCATCATCATAAACTATTCATCTCTACCAATTAAAGTTTTTTTTTTTTAAATTAAAGCGATAAAAGTGTGAACTATAAATGTTGTCTTGCGTATAAAATGTGAGATTCTTTTTTTTTTTTGTAAATTAATTACTGTAAGTTAAAAGTAGAATATTGTAAATTAAAAGTTTTTTTTTTCACGGATGAACAATTATCGTTCGCAAAATTTCTCTCTTTGTTATGATTTGTGAAGTTTAGAAGAAATGATTTTCTTTTGATAATGTTACGGATAATTAACAATTACAAGTTATTCTTTTTTAAAAAAATAAAGAAAACAGTTAAAGCAGTTAGCTATGTCATGCTTAACCACTGATGATACTTCTGATAAAGTTAGCTGAAATAATAATTTAAACTTATTGTATATACTGTTGGAATAAACACGGAACTATAGTATTTTTTACGATAATTTTTACAAATGAAACAAAGACCAGAAGATAACAAAAATGAATAATGAAATTTGAATTGATTTAACGAGAAATTTTTTCTATTCTTTTTTATGTTACTTTTAACACTTCTCAGGTAATTTCACACGGGAACGAACTGATTATAACTCTTCTTGTCCATCTAACAAATACTATTGAATTGAATTCCTAACAAATTTAGATAAAGTTCTTTTTTTTTAATTTTAATGACATTAAATGGATAATGACAATAATTAGCATAATTGAAGCACTACTGAGAGAAAATCAAACTTTTTTCTTAAACTTAAATTTACTAACATATAATATTAAATATCTAAATGTTGACACTGTTATTGTTAGACAACATCACTGATACTGATTGAATTTATATATGAAAATTTGAAAAGAGACTAGCAAATGAAATCATTTCAATATCTTAAACTAAATTTGTTAAAAGATGAAATTTTTTTTAAAAAAAAAAAAAAAACTGTATATAAATATTCCTAATGATCCTAATGATTTTAATGATATTCCTAATAAATTCTAATTTATGATAATGATATCTTCAAGCGTAGAGATTGTTCGTAAATATATTTCGT